CACGTACAGGAAGTCCACGTACAGGAAGTCCACGTACAGGAAGTCCACGTACAGGAAGTCCACGTACAGGAAGTCCACGTACAGGAAGTCCACGTACAGGGAAGTCCACGTACAGGAAGTCCACGTACAGGGAAGTCCACGTACAGGAAGTCCACGTACAGGAAGTCCACGTGCAGGAAGTCCACATACAGGAAGTCCACGTGCAGGAAGTCCACGTACAGGAAGTCCACGTACAGGAAGTCCACGTACAGGAAGTCCACGTGCAGGAAGTCCACAGCTCTGTGTTGAGCTGAAACACCGTGCAGAAAATACACTGTCTTTGTTCATCGTCCCACTGCGAAACGTCTTCTTTTGTTCAGAATCAAAAGTCTTGTGTAAAATAAATTATTACAGAAGAATACAACGTCCTGTCAGCGCTCTGCCTGCATCAGATTCACAGGAAATGATGGAGAGGACCACCCATCGTCTGATCTCACCCAGGTCCTCGTGTCTTCAGACCGACAGGGCGCACTCCTGAACAGTCACCAGGGTCATCATCTCACACGCAGCCGTGACATCATCCACTCAAGACCCTGACACAACCTGGAGGAGAGAAATACACTGAGTGTGTCACTGACAAATCAAAGCCACAACATGCAGTTTGTAGCATTCTGCTGTGGTAAGGGCTTTTCAAAATAAAATGTTACGACAGCAGCAGTAAAGAGGGTCCTCACCCCTCCCCTGTGAGGGCGCAGCAGGCCTGGATGTGCCACTGGTGGTCTTTGACAGAGGTTAGCTGGAGGCTCTGGGAGATCTCAGCCACAGACATGCAGCCTTTCACATCTTGTTTGTTGGCAAATACTAACAGTCCTGCCTTTCGTAAATCCTGCGTAGAGAAGAGAAAAATACATAAATAAAACACTCAGATATTTCTAGTAAAGCWGAGTTATACACATCACAATATTTTGCATTACTTTAGGATGTTATTTTCTCTAATTCATTTAATTTCCTTGTATTTATTGTAATTAAAAAACAAGTATGGTAGGATGAAGGGTCAAACATGGTGGTCAGGTCTTCTTCAGAGCACCTGTAAAACTAAACCAAGGACTTAGTGCCGTTCCTTTCATTGTGCTGACACATTTATTCATTTGTAGCTTTTCTAATCTTCAGTTCTGGTGACGTATGGCAAAATAACTTGTCTTGGAAAGTTTTACAAAACAAATAAAAGAGAAAGGCTTTTTTTAAACCTTTTTACTACGTTGCTATGCCACTAGAACAGTGTTACTGCTTTATTATATGTGAGCCATCACATCGAAACAAGGATTAAGTCCAAAAGTTGTTTATGGAGAAAAAGGCAAATATAGTGTTTTGACTAAAATGTTAACAAAAATTGCATTTTGTCAAAATATAATGAATAAAAGCCTTAT